AAACTCTTGATGATTACTAATGTTGTACACTTGAGATACATTTCCATCTGAAAATATTCAAATCACATTCAAAGTTTAGCAGTTCATTGAGGTCTAAGGGTCAATGTCTTGTACTACTTCTGAGCATCCTTGTTTGTGATTTACTGTAGAATACCTCCAACATTGATAATTCAAGAAGTTTCCAAAACATTCCAGTTTATTTCCTATCATTTGCTATAGTTTTATAATTTTCTAGATTATTTCTTGCCAACATGCCGAGAGATTTCTGGAGATTGCTAGCTTGCTACAACCACCATAGTGAAGTCAGTAATTCCACCGACTTATTACCCCTATAAACAAAACCTCACCCCTTGTATTACGTGTACGAGTAAATAAATAGTGCAAGAGAGGTAATGTAATATAGTCCTTTGAGCTCTATGAGGTGTGTCAGTGCGTGAAATGTACAATTCAATTGTGTAGAAGTCTTCGAGTGATATTAGGGTGTAGCATACATCATATTATAAATTTGTTCAAGTGTTCTTTGGGGGAAAATAAAAGACAATTTTATTTGTCTATAGTTCATCAACAATTTGGTTTCGATTTGAGTGTAGGGATGGAGAGAGATATGGTGAGGAATAAGCAGCAGTTGTTAGTATGTCCATTCAAGTGGGTGACGGCCTTGTGTGTCTCATATAAAATCAAACTGTATATGTGGCCTTTATTAATAAAATAGTCTTAATTCGTGTTTAAAATTCTTCATTTACTTATTTATTTGCCAAAGAAAATACTAGTGAGAAAGAATACTAACTGAAAAATCAACTGAGTCCAGCAAACTGTCTAAAGAAACCTTTTTGCCTTTAGATTTAATGTTCTGGCTTCGACATCCTTGTAGGTTTGAGGGTGGTTTTCAAAACTGTATCTGAACTGAGATTGAAATACTTGTATCTAGTGTTATATTTTTGCCTCGCACTTGAAAATTGAAAAAACAGTTCTATTCAAATTTGAGGTAATATTTTCCAAGTTTTATTTCGAATTCCATGTGACCAATGTAATTTTAGAGTTCATACATAGTTTTCTTGATGATAGAAGAGGCATTGCTTCCTGTTATGGTGGCGTGCATGATCACTTTTTTCTCTGAACTTCGTATTCTGAATATTTTAATATTTTGCAGTCATCCATCTCCTCCTCAAAATCCCTAGGGGAAGGGAAGGAATGAAAGAGAACCACAAAATGAGGGAAGTAGAAGCAAATAAAGGAGCATAAAAATTGTGTACTTGGACTTTGTTTCGAGATAAACCTTTCCTTTGCCCATTGTTACGCTTGATTGGTTTGTGTGTTTTTTTGATAGTTTGAATATTTCTTTCATGCTGTTTTATTTAATGTATGAGTTTGGACCTCTCGGATGTGTTTGGCATGTTGGAAACTACAATATTGAACAAGATTGAGGAAAGAAAGTTAACGTCCTCATTGTGATCATATGCTATTTTATGCGTTCCATGTACCTAAAATTCTCCTTGTGTATAATGTCTGATATCCTCTTTGCTCTCCTAGATGGATGAGGTGTTGGCTTCTGTTGCTGAAACAGTAAAGAATTTTGCTGTTATTTACTTGGTGGATATAACCGAGGTGCCTGATTTCAACACAATGTACGAGCTGTACGATCCATCAACTGTCATGTTCTTCTTCAGGAACAAACACATTATGATTGATCTTGGCACTGGGAACAACAATA